AGCGGTTTTGGTAGCTTTCAATGGCAGCTTTGTTTACCTGGAAGTCTCTTTGAATCTGGTTCATGCATTCTAAGTCCTTCCTATATTTTTCATTGAAAGCTTCTGTCCCTTGCCTTTGTTTTTCTATTTTCTTATATGTTTCTTCTTGAGACTTTTTTAGCAGTTCCTTCATTATTATTGTCATTTCATTTTTTTGCCTGAGAGATTATTTCTGATCTCATCTCTTCTATGGCCTAATGGAGTTGTTTCTTTACTTCCATTGCAATCATTTCAGCTATTTCAGGCATGTGTTTACCAAGTTCTCCTATGTCGATGTCTCGTGGACTTGTTCTGAGTGTGGTGGAGTTCTGGGGTTGTGTTTTAGCCCTTTGTTTTGTCATGTTTGATACTGAATGCAGAAAGCTCAGTTTCCCTCTTCAGTAGCTGCACAGCAAAGGCCACTAGTGTCCCTAGTTTTCCTGTTGGTCAGGTTTGCCCCTGAGTGACCTCTGAGAAGCACTACTTAGTCTTGGGTTTTCTGGCAGTTGTTGATTTGTATGTAGTTATCTCCTGTCTCAGACATGGGCATTGGTGTCAGATGATGGCCAACCATCTGATCCAGCATCCCCTTGCAGTTCAGGACAAGTGCACAGCCCAGACTCAAGTTGCACTGGTGTGACAGTTCTGGTCCAGTGGCCCTAGTCCCCAAGCAGTTCACGGTACAGGCAAAACCCAGACACAAACTGCAGGGTCGACAGTTTGTGAACCAGCTACTTCTGTGTCTTCAGTCAGTTCAGGACACATACAGGAACCAGATGCAGGCCAGATGGGTAGCAATCGCAGATAGCCTGTGCCTTTGACCCCCTAGGGGTCCTGGCGAAAGTAAAGCAAGAACTCGAACCGCGGGACCACCAGCTCTTGGAGCACTCACTCACTCAGCACAGGGCATGCGCAGGGAGGGGCTATATGCCCCCTAGCCAGAGAAGTCCCTGGGGCTTCTGAGTGTGGACCTCCTCTCTGCTGCGGGTGCAGGGAAGGCAGAGACTCAGTCTGTAATGGTGGCAGGTCCTGGGTCATCCGCTCTGCCCTCAGGAAGTAGATGGGAAATACCTGGCTCTCTCTGCGAGTTTCAGCTGGGAACCATGGCTGTGTGAGTAAAGCATGGACTCCAACCATGAGACCAGCAGCTCTTAGAGCACTTGCTCACTCAGTGCAGGGCGCATGCAGGGCGGGGGTAAATGAATTATTTACACAGTCTATGTATTTGTATTTATTCATCTGTTTCATAAATATTAAAGAGTTTTCTAGATAGATACTTGGTTAATATAGCATAAGTAGTGGAACCAAATAGAAACAATTTTTAAATTCTAATGGTTTGGGAAATTATAGTGCTCAGATCATACAACTAGGAAAAACTTCAGTAGATTACTTTCAGGCAAAGAATGGCATTTAAATCATTTGTTTTCTTGCTTAATATGTTCCTTAGTGAAATAATTATTCATTTGCACTTCAAGTGAAGTAACTTTGGTTTTATTGTGGTTGTCAGCTTTATTTAGAAATTCTCACTGGTGTAATGAAAGTGAAATAAAAAACATGCACTTTACTAAATTATTATTTTTTTAAGATAACAAAATATGTGTCTTCAAATCTTAATTAATGATTTTCATTTTAAATTTGTTTCTTTTTTTAGCTACAGTTCCACAAATTTTGAATGAAAATGACAATATACAATGCACTAATGGTGGGTTGAGATTAAGTTTCAGCAATGTAATAAAATGTTCAGGCCTAACCCTGACTTAAAAAAAAATGGTCATTTTATCATATTTGAGTATCCTTAGGCTACTAATTTTAAGCAGATTTTAAGAAGTTGCATTTATGGTTGAGACAGTATCTGTCACTTTTGCACAAAAAGATATTGTAAGTTATCTATCTTTGAGCATGAAATAATGCTTGGATTTGTGTTTACTTATGAACAGTAACTTCTAACATCATTTTGAAGGCCCTGAGGGGTTCTAAGGCTTTATACTGAAGGTTCTTCAAGGGGAAGAGTTTGACTTAGCAGCTGTATACATTGATCTTTAGGGATCTCACTGCTTGACAAGGTTTCTTTCTAGCCAGGTGATTGCTGTGATGGAGAGTACTTGAATAGAATTGTCTTTGTCATGGTCCACTGGAGCCATTTTCAATTTATTTTGTTAAAATGTATTAATTGTTACCAAACCATAATAACCATATGCATATGTAGTTTATATAAACTTTAAATTAAAAAAAATAATTTTTCACTCTGGTATTATCACTATGGTCATGCAACTATATCTTTCAAGGAAGTCTAACTCAGTTTTAAAAATCAAAAGATTTTTAAACACCTGAGCTGGATCTTAAAGCTGGGTATTCCGGTTCTTTGATCAATGCTCCTGAATTTTCTTAATATGCAATAGTGTATGGTACAAAAAATAAGGCTTCTATATAGTAGACATTTTAGTCAGTGTGTATCTTTTAAATATGATTATATCCATCTGTCTGTATTTGGTGCTAAAATTACATAATTTAATATTGGACAAAGAAAAAAACCAATTCCAATAAAACATTAAAGTTGAATAAAAATGTATTGGGTTATGTTTAACATTGTAAATAGAAGTTCTTTCAATTTAATAAAACGTATCTTCAAAATACAAATTGATTCATTCATAATGTTGTAACACTACTACTACAATCATGGTAGGCTGACAAATAATAATAAAATAATAGAATTTAATAGAATTTAGAAAGATATACAGTTAAAAATAACACTTCAAATGATCATTAATAGGGAATAGAGAATAGGTATGACATACATTGTCCCTTTCCTATACCCACTGCCTGGTCCCCTATCCTCAGAAAAATAGTGCTTTATATTCTCCTAGGACACTATTGCTTAAAAAGCAGTGGACAATGACTAATAAGAAAATTAGTAGCAAAATTAGAATACACATGTGTTGGGCATCCACTCTGCCACTTCCCACCTTAGAAAGCCACTTCACCTCTTCTGGAATCTCTGCTCAGTTGACAAATGAAGGAAGCATATTGGATGATCTCATTTTTTTTTTTTTTTCAGTTTCTAGGTAACATGGCAGGTAAACATGTTAGATAATGTCTGTGGCACTGTTCGTGTTTTTATGTTGAGAAAAACTGGTACCACCTGGATTTTCCTAATTAATCTTCTTTTATGTTATGTTTTTAAACATTTTTTGATAATGGGTTAGAACAGGTAGGATTATCTTTAAGATTCTTGGTTGTTTTTGTGTTTAATATGAATTACGACTAACCTTCAAGAGAGCAATAAAAAAATTATAGTTAAAAGGAATCCATTAAAAACAACCAAAACTTGGAACAGCTTTTCCCCATAACCTGCCAAATAGGTTAAGCAGCCTAATGCCACACATCTAGTGCTAGGTTCTCTGTAGAGCTAAGGTAAGCTGGTCTGAGACAAGTCGGGACTGGGGTGGGAAAGATGCCAAGGAAACACCAGGTGTTTGTAGGCAGCAGTCCTGATGATTCAGCTCAAGATGATGTCAGAGTAAATCAGCTTTCAAGCAGGGGTCTGGGATCCAGGGCGCAAGCCAAAAACACAGAGTTTTTGGAAAAAAATAAGAACTTGCCAAAATCCTGCTTAAGAAAATAATTACCCATTTATTTCATGTCAAGTGGGACTGCAGGTCAGTTTATAATGGATGCAAGCCCTCCTGAAGGCTCAGACTATTGAAGTGAAATGTAAAAGGAACAGTAAAGTGTTATCTCGGCCACTGTCTCATCCCTGGGGCACAACACCTGACACCCACAGCCGAAAGGAGGAGAGGTTCATTTCGGCTATGGCTTCCATCCACGGTCAGCTGGCTCTACACCAGAAATGATGTGATGGAAGGCTATGAGGGAGGAAAGGTACTCAACCATGGCGACCGGGAGAGTGAGCAGAGAGGAGACAGGGGTAAGAACACACTCTGCCAGGTCACAGCCCCAGGGACCCACCTCTTCTGACACTGTCCCACTGCCTCGCAGCAGTTCAGCTCCTGAACTCATGGGTGGGTGAGTCCATTGATCAGTGTAGCACCCTCATGATTCAGTCAAGCTCTGTGCCAAAGAGAGCTTGGGGAGACATCTTAGATCTAAACAGTAGCAACTCTAAACTGCAGAGAAGTGAACTCTTAGTGAATCTTTATAAAAATATGTCCTTTCAAAAACTGGACAGATTTGATTTTAGAAGAGCCTTTGTGAAGCTATATCAAAGAAGAGGAAGAGGCACTGATGTAAAATCTCCTTTCTTTAAACTTAGTTTTATAGATGTCTGCAGTGACATCTGTTGTCTTTTGTGTTTACATGTTGTTAAATATCACTGAACATTTTGTGCAAGACAACATAAGGATACTTCCATTTTGCTGATTTCTATAGAATTATCTTCGTTTTTGCTGATATTCTATTATTTATTGAAAAAAGCTGATGGAACAAAATACTTGCTGATATTTCTTTGAAGAACATTTTACTAAGTTACAGGGTAACTTTTTCTGTCTAAACATTTACCTTGAATATAATTTAACAGGGCTTAGTATGTGGGCCTCCAGAGCTATTTCCCTTTTGTCTCACCAAGACACTGCTGTAAAAATTGTACTATGAAAGAGGAAGATTTCCTTAATATCTTAGAATACATGGTATGAAACTATATTCTATACTCTAGTACAAGATGGAGCAGAAACTAGAACTTCCTTCTAATATTTACGGCAATTTCTCATGAGAAGGTGGCCTGGGAAAGGATGCCCTTGTGGCTGTTTTTGTGTGAGTTTTTACTGTAATGCTGGTGTTTACATTCTTTGCTCCACCTTGCTGTGTGTAAACTACTATATCAACCTAATGGCAGTTTAATGACACTTCCCACGAGGAAATTTTCCTTATAGCCTGCTGGTTCCCCTCTGTCACCACCACACAGAGGCACTGCCCACATTTCCACAGTTTCTTGATATATGCCATAGATGTCACATACATCAACTCACAGGACAGACTCTTCCCCACCTTCTTTGCCTTTAAATTTTCAGGGGTGGAGGGGGAAAAAGCCATCTGTATAGCACTCAAGTCAACAACTGCTATATGTAAATTCTACGATATTTGACAAATTGAAAATACAGCTGAAGCCAAAAATTAACTATGACCAAGATGCTGAGTGGACAGTCAGCCGGCAGTGATCACTGAAATTGTTCAAAGGATTTCGGAAAAAAACACCCTAATAATATATGGTTTTAAAGAATTTATCCATTTCACAGTTTTCTTTGTTGTTTTTGTTTTTTAATCAGATAAAGACACACTATGCCATCTCACGCAGATCTTTACACATCCACATTTGGACCTAAATCCTGAATTTGATGCAAAGATCAGAGATTATTACTCAGAAGTCCCATTTGATGTGGTGATGGTTACCATCGGAGCAAAGACTTCTAAGTGTCAGTGCCAGGTGCACTTGCAGGAGCAGGCGGGACCCAGGTATGGGACACTGGCTGAAAATGCATGCGTGGGCTCACTGGGAAACAGGCACTTGACGCAGCCTTGGAAAGTGATTCAGGAAAGCTGAGCCACGGGACCGTTTGGAAATATTGCCAGTGAGATCCTCCACTTTTTAGGCATTAGGTGTTTTAAAAGAACACACTGGTGCTCCACTGGTTTACTAGCAACCTGTAACTAACCTGTGTAGTGATATTGTAACAGGAGAGGATCTTGTTATATGTGCTACTGTGAGAAACTATTAAGGGAATGTCTTCACCGTCACCTTCCTGTTTTCACAAGTTGAAGTTAATCCCTTGCAATGGTGAACAGTTCAATCCTTCTACCTCAAGGTGACTCTTTAAAGAGGGGTTTATTGCTTAAACATGTTTGCCATAATTTGGAGATAGAGGACTACTGACTTTACTACTCCTGCAGGGATTTTTTTTGGTATCTGCTTTGAAAGTCACCAATTCTTCTGTTTGTAATTCTGAACACAAGCTAGAACTTTCTTAAAGCTGTGTCCATATGAGGAAATACTTTTTCTTCCCTGCTGTAGAGAAAGAAATGCATGTGGCCTTCCAGGCAGTCAGAGTCTACTAGAGATAAAAGAGCATCCAAGTCACTAGTCTGGGGCCCAACCTTTGTCATTCTGAGCGGTTTGTTCACCAGTTCTTTGTAGTTTCTATATTTTAAATTAGAACCATCATAATTTTTGTATAGTTATTGTATCATTAAATGAGATATATGACCCTGACAAGTGATTAATCAATATTAATTTCCTTTCATTTAATTAATGGAGGACATAGCTTGCCCTGGAGGATGGCTCTTGGCTATAACAGTACAATGAAAGAGAAGTTTAATTTTTTTCATATTTTTTATTCTATAAAAATTGAAGAAGAAAAAGTTAAGAGGAAAGAGTGTAATTAATGAACAACACATCCTTTGCTTATTATCTTAATTGTGGTAAATCTTTGTATAGGGCTATTTAAAAACTACTGTAATTTATTGACTTACATAAGCAGGTGTGATTTTATGCATGTGTACATTTGCTGTGATCTTTAGTCCCTGAGAGCCCTAAATAATTTTAATTAAAAAGCCCAACATTTTTTGGACATTTAACACATGCTAGACACTAGGTTAAAAGTTTTATATGCATAATTTGATTACAAAATTTTTATTTTAGATTTCTTATGAAATAGTGCAGACTTTACCTATTTTTTACAAGTAGTAGATATTTAGTTAACACTGTTGTCTGAATTAGTGTGAGCTAAATAAATGTTGCCCATTCATATTCATTCTCTCTCTATTCTCTTTCTATCCTACTCCTAGCTTTGCCAAATACCCTCTTGGTTTAGGCATAAATAAAATCTCAATGCTGGTGGTGGATGAATCTCCAGCAGAGGGCGAGACTGTAATCACGTATAAATTCTCCATTTATAGAGAAGACCGTCCAAGTCTTCCCATTTTTGAGGGCTTCAGAGCTTGTGGTTTTGTGCAGGTAAGTGAATTCTACATTTGCACTTGAGTTGAATTGAGAATGGCTTGTTAACCTAGGTGAAATGTGCCAAACAAAAATTGTTACAAGAAATCATAGGCTCTTAAATATAAACTGTGGTCCCTGCAAAGCACCAAAAGTGAGTATCAGGCAGATATCTCAGGTGCCTCAGTGTGAATGGTTTTCTGTTTAGTGCGGTCACTACTCCCTGCATGTATTGTGTTCAGGTCATTGATTGTGGTTACTGTTTTAAAAAATGTCTGAGCACTAACACTTACTTATGAAATTGGTTTCACATTTCTCTTTTAAATTGTGCTGTTTTTCTTGGATTTGTCCCTGGGTCTACTTTTGACATTTTAAACTGGATTTAATGGAATTCATTTGAAAGAATGAGAGGAAAACTTATGGAACTCTTTTACAGAAGGGATACTGAGTGTATGAAATTAAATTTGCTTAGGACAGTTACACTTCTCATTTACTTCTTATACCATAATCATTTCTTACAGCTGTACTTTCTTTCAGAAACACATACCATTTTATAGCCTTGTTGTTTTTGGAGGGGAGTAACTGTTACTCTGAGATTTTTGTCTTGTTTGACAGTTTTTCCCTCTGCTTTTGCCTTTTTGTAGTACCGTATGTATAATCTTTTATAAAATTTTATGTCATACAAATACCCTCACTTCCAATGATTCCAGACAAGTAGTAATGGGTACTAATCCATTTAGAAAGTATAATTGAAAATATACTCATGTCATATAAAAAGGGTGAATATACTATTGGGTATTTTGAAGTGTAGAGGATTATTTAAAGAGAGGTTATATCCAGCTGGGCCTTGGTAGGTAGCACGGATATCATGTGTGTTTGTATTTTTATTTATTGGCCAAAAACTAATCCTCACCCCCATCATCACAACTATCCCATCTATCCCCAAAATGTTCATACCATTTCATAAGGATACCTGTCTTTGAGATTTTTATTTTGCAGGAAATTACTTATCGTTTATTTGTGAATCACCACTAAAGTAAAAGGACCTTCATTTTGGCCTAAAGAATATTCTAAAGCAAGACAGAATGATCATTTTGAAGATTATAAGTAGTTGTACTTAAAAAAGATAGAACAGAGTAGGGTTCTGTGGACAAATAGGTTTACAAAGTAATGGATTAATGTTAATGATTATTTTTGCTATGAGGAGTCCTGATCCTTAATATACTAATTCAACATAAATTAAATATATACAGTGTGCTGCATTTCCATATTTATTTGAGGTCATTTTGATGGAATAGATATTAATACTTGTTTTGAAGAAACACTGGGCTAGAGTCTGGAGAAAATTTCAAAATATATCCCCCTTCTAGTTTTCCACTTCTCAGTTTGCTTTTATTTGAGTTGCTCAGTCTTTTTCCAAATTGGAAAACAAATGATACAGCTATGCTAGAAATGCTACAAAATGGACAAAAACCCAGAGGAAGATTTGCTTTTTGTAAGTCTTTTTGTATATAGAATTGTTTACAAACTAAATATTTTTACCATTTTTGGTGTAATAATCTATCTTTCATATACTGTTGGTGAAATGTTTGATGGCTTTGGGAACCTTTGCCTATATTTACCACATGTAACTCTCTATATATCACATAGGGTTGTAGGATAAATCAGGTATATACCCAAGATAAACGAAGTCATATGTCCATGAATTTTACTCTTAAGAGCTGAAAGTTGAAAGCAACTCAATAACAAAAGACATAAATACAACACAATACTGTTGAGATGCTTAAAGATAAATGATGTTACTAATACACATACCATGGAAGACTCTTCCATATTTATGTTGATAAAAAGAAACCAGACATATACTATGTTTTATTTATATGAAGTTTTGAGCAGGCAACACAAATCTATGATGACAGGATTCAGAATAGTGTTTACCTAGGGTTTGTGGTCACCTTTATGCAAAGGGGAACTTTGTAAATAAATGGTCTACATCTTGATCTAAGTGTTTACATATATAACCAAGAGGTACATAGATATATAACCATTCAACTGTGCAGTTAAGATTTCTGCAATTTACTGCATATGAATTTTATAATATATAAAGCATATATGTACATTTGGATATGTTTGCATATTACCTGTACCTCTGTAAAGTAAGAAAATAATATTAACGAGAAAACATATACCATTATCTTCTCAGATATATCGACCAAAACAAGTTAATTACTAAGCAATTAACTTAAAGAATAGATAATATTACCAATCTGCTAAAATATAAAGAAAAATATTTGGTATTTCTTGTGGAATAAATCCAACAAATGATTATAGAAAAGCATTTCAGTCATTTAAAAGAATAATTTCCAGAGGGGCTTAATTTGAAGTTTATGTGTGGTCCTACAATAAATACTATACTTTATAACATGGAACAGTGTCTAATAAGCACTAGTTTTTTTTAACTTTTCTTTTAAAAACTGTCAAATGAGTGAACAGAAAAATGTGGCATGAATAATATAGGTTGCTGTAGACACCTAACTAGTATCTAGCAACCTCATGAACTGGAAAAAGTAACAGCAGTGGTAGGATTTCCTCACCTTACATGCCAGCTGAAATTGAAATTCAGAGGCCTTTCCCTTATTTTTCTGATTCTTAATCTCATTAGGGTTGTTAGGTTTCACTGCAAGCTCACAGCACGACAAAGGTTTTAATACAAAAAGCAAAGAATAAAATTTCTAATGCCCCATCAATTCTCAGGTATTTGAGAATTTACAAATTAAAACTGCTAAGGAAATTTATCTCATGAGACTTAAAAACTATTGGTTTTCCAAACTCTTCTTCTTTTCTGCCAACAATCATTGTGCTTTCACAGTGGCCTGAGGCTAAAAGTCAGAATACAAATATTGCAGACTAAATGATAGGCTGTTCTATTGGGATCCCTCAAAACCTATACATGTAAAGCTAAAAGGAAATGCAGTAAACTTAATCATGGTTTATACTTTTTGATGAAAGGGACACTAACAAGTTCTCTTTACATTTTAAATTAGATATTGGTCTAATAGACTCCATTATTAAATTATAAATCAATATTGACTTTATTTGTGCTGCTATAATGAAATACCTGAGATTGGTTAATTTATTAAAAACAGAAATTTATTTTCTCACAGCTCTGGAGGCTGTGGTCCAAGGCACTGACATTTGATGTCTGATCAGGGTCTTTTCCATACATCCTTACATGGTAGAAGTGGGGGAAGAGGCAAAAGGGGGGCATGCTGTGTCCCCATGTGCAGGGACAGCCAAAGAGAAAAATACTAGGCATGAATCCATACAGGTGGCCACACCCTTGTAATTTATTCACATCCCCGAAAGCCCTACCTCTTAACATTACTACAATGAGAATTAAATTCCAGCAAATGAATTTTGGAGGATACTCAGACCATACCAGACACAAATGCCAATCCAAACCGAAAAAAAGGGGAGATAGAATCCAATAGTTCATTATTCGAGCCTCTTAATTTTTCCTTCCTCTGTTCTTTTACATTTTGGGCATCAGTTCACTCTAACATTTTGCCAAAAGACAACAAGAACAGAAATCAAATACAGAGCATATTATTCAATTAAAAATCAATTGCCACAACTTTTGGTAAACAATGAGGTAAATTTGTTAGATATTTTGTAGCATCTCTATTTTCAAGCATCATTAAGTGGCTACTACTTGAATTTATTTAATGTCTGCATTCCAGTTGTTATTGTGCCAATTGGAAAATGTGTGTGGTAGCCATGGAACCTCATCTTACTTTAGCTATTCTGGGTGAGGGAGAAAGGGATGATTTGCACAATCTATAGAAGTAACTAGATTTGGGCTAGGGGCACCACTACCGCCACTTGAAGATGCTTAATTCTTTTTTTTTGGAATCTATCTTGTGTATTGTAGGCTGTTTAGCATCGTCTTTGGTCTCTACCCACTAAATAATTCCACTAATGGACCTTGTGCCCAAGTCGTGATGAACAAATGTGTCTCCATACACTCCCAGTGCTCCCTGAGGGGCACAGTCAACCCCAATGGAAAATCACTGATTTCTGCCAGTAAGAGTCCCTGCTTTTTCTACTCTCCTGTATATTTGCTAGAAGTGCAAATAATTTAAATGTATACCTTCAGCATTATATTTTGGAAAACTATATTTATCTTGTTTCATCCTTATAATTTTAATCATTTCTAGCCAGTGGAACTATTTTGACACCCCTCTATTTTACTCGATAATCTGCCATCATTCAGTCTAATAAAATTATTATAATCACAAATATGCATTCAATTGAAGAAAACATGTTCTTAATGAAATGTAAAAATATCATGCAGTTTACTTAGGCTGTTACTTCATTTTGATTTACCCATGAATAATATACTGTTTAGTATTAGAAAGAAAGTTTTAGAAAGTAATAAATAAACTGATATTATGCCTGGAAAATGTCATATTTAGGAATTAATAAAATATATTTATGTTCTAAGGAAATTAAAATACATATGGAGAAATACTTCTTTGAATATCCCTTTCCAAATGAAAAAATTTTGACATGGATAACAATATAATATCCATAGAAATTGATTTGTGTAGATGATCTATGCTTTCATATACATTTTGCCTCCAAATTGTTGTGTCAGAATAGAGCCATAAATAAAATCTTCAGAAAGATCACATAGAAGAAGCCTAGGAGGCTATGTTCTGTGGGTCTATTTGCTCGAACCAGTTTTCAACTTAAAGTGGATTACAATTCACAAAGGGAAAAAATATCAAGGAAAGAAAAAATAGTATTTTTAAAGAGATTTGTTAATGTTTAGCTATACATTAAAAACTGGCATTTGCTGCTTTTTTAACTTGTCATTTAGATGCTGAGTTATTAAATGGTGTGTGAATGACTTCAATTATAGTATTTGGAAATGTTTTATAAATCCTTCATATATTTCTGTACACTCCTAACACCACAGAGAACTATTATAAAAAGAAAGCTCAAACGGATTGTTG